TATGTAACAAACCTGCAAGTTCTGCACATATCCCAGAACTTAAAGTATAAACAAACAACAACAACAACAACAAAATGAAGAGTGGGTGTGCTGCTACTACTCTCCCTTACCCTGATGTGGCAATATTGGAAGTCAAATATTTAGATAATATATCACAACATGCAGTCTAGATCCCTGTGTCACTGAATGGAGGAGCACTGGAAATTCCCATGATCCACCTCAGACTTTGTGTAAGTAAAAAATAAACTTTTGTTGTTTGAAACCACTGTGATTTTCAGGTCTATTTTTTTTCCACAGCCAAACCTATTCTATCTTGAGACACTGCCCTTAAGCAGCTCACAGTCTGTGTGAAGTAAGCAAGTTTGATTAATTTTGAGTAGGTGGCTGGGACATAGAATGACCTGTGGACCTTGAGGTTCTCCATGGAACAAGAGTGTAATTTGATTAGTGTCTCTGGGTTTTGGACTCTAACTATGTAGGAATTTGGGGGAAAAACAGCCTCATAGGGCCACAATTTCCTCATTTGTAAAACACAAGAATCGGCCATTTTTTTCTGCTCTAATTCCAGCTCTGTTTATAAGCAGCTGTGAGAGTAGAGGAAACAGAGACCATAAGGACAGTCATATCTTTACAAAAAGAAGTACTTTTCTGTGATTTACTGGTTAGGCCCTCACAACGCTGCACTTGAAGTAGCAGATGGAGGTAGAAAGGGCCATTATCTTCTAACTCACACATAGATCTTTCAGTCTGTCTTTAGGGAAGCCACAAAAATTTGTTGCAACACATTTATTACTATCAACAAGAATACCTTTTCTTTAGAAAGAGAATAATTATAACACTGTCAAATTCCTATTTAACCTTCCACACTGGATATTGCATCTTAGTACAATTAAGAAAATATCTTTTCATCCTCTTACACAAATAAAGTTAGTTAGTCACTACCTCCCACATGCTATCTCTACATTCTAGGCACACTTCCATTATTTTATTTATTACGTAGTATTTTATCATTGTTTTTAAAGTAGGTGTTTCTGCTCTACTGGATTGCACACTTCACAAGGAAAGGACTTTTCTTGATTATATCCCTAGGGTCTAACCCAGAGCCAGTACCCCAGGGCCACTTAATAAATGTTTCTTAAATAACCGATTGACAAGCAAGTGGATCTTTCATTGTAACCTAATGCTTCAAGATAAACTGAACTTGGAAATGGATGAGACAGTGCTAGTACTCAAATCAATTTGCTGATATCATAATCTCCCTCCCTCTCCACCTTTTCTCTTTTCAGAGGTGGGCCATTTCTAGGTTACTTGCTATGCACTTACATTACAGAAATCATCTTTTAGCTCTAGCCTCTTAGCTTGTTTTGCAAGAGAATTAGAGTGCTTAATGCATTTGTGTTGCTAAAGAGTTTGAGATCTGCTTGGGAAAGTCACTTTAGAATGCCTAAGTGCTAGTATCATAATATTTATTGAGAATTGATGAATAGAATTCTTAAAATAGTCTTGTTCATTGTGGTATCACTGAAGGCATGCTATACTAAATCCCATTTGTCTTGGATATAGGATTTCTGGAAGATGAATGAAAAGAGGAAATTGTTGGATTTTGGAGTGGGTTGTATAAGAATGAACAATTTCTGTAAATTTCCCTTTTCTTAAAGTGACAAGTGTTAGAAAAATGCCTTTAGCCATACCTACCTGGGCTGGGTAATTACAAGTTCTAAAAAACAGGTAAATGCCACATGTCGACAGATGGAGAATATGAGAAGCACCTCAACTTTGAAGTCTGCCCTGGGATGAGGCAGAGGATCTGTAGAGTCACTCCAGTCTAGAAGCTCTAATGCTAGATATGTCATTTTTGGTTGTATCCATTCTCTGCAGGAGGGGAGGCTTTATTCTTTTCTTGTGTGAAGTTTGACAGTCTTGGTGCTTATGTCAGGCATTAGCAAAACAATCAAACCAAACATGTCAATGCTGAGAAAGGATTTCATGATAGAGCAGTTGCTGACTAACCTGGGACAGTTATCTTCATTTGGGAGAACTTGTACAGTGACTCTGTGCTGTGGTTTGAATGTCCCTTCCAAGACTCATGTTGGAATTGATCCCTGATGTGGCAGTATTGAGAGGTGGAACTCTTAAGAGATGATTGAATCATAAGGGCTCTTGATCTCAGACTTCTCAGCCTCCAGAACTTAAGAAATACATTCATTTTCTTTATAAATTACCTGGTTTTATGTATTCTTTCATAAATAACAGAAAATGGAATACAAGCGTCTGGAAGACAGTGAGAGGAAAAAATAATACAACTTTACCTGATGATGCTACAAATTCTCTGAAGTGTATATCATACATTCAGTCTAAAACACTGCCTTTTCTCCTGCCAAAGAAGAATGGAGTGCTAGACTTAGGCTCTTCTCATTCCATTTCATTGCATTGCTTCTTGGTTACTCAGCTTTCTCTACAAAGTTTCTTTTGATAGTCATTTAAATCTTTTATTTTAGTTCTATAAAAATGTATATAGATTCTTGCCTAGTGCCCCCAAATGTCCTTCGCTCTCTCAATTTTAAGTAATGAACATTCCAAAATAGAGAAACTAGCCCAGTTTTTGCACTGGGGGAGTAATCACCACTATCATTACCAACAAAAACTTATAGACGACCCCTTCTGTGTCATATTTATAGTAACATTTATTGAAAGCTTATTTAGAGGTGCTGACACTGGAAAAATTCAGGAAACTTTCAGAGTTACCATGTAGCAGAGGCAAGAACACAATCTAAGACATATAAACTCAGCCTAGAACTATATCTAAATAACAGCTCAATACCCATCTGTATTTAGCACTTCTCTCAGAAAGGTAGGTTTTTTTGGTAAACATTTATTTTAGTTTCAAATGTACATGTGCAGGTTGGTTCTATAGAGACATTGCATGTTGTGGGAGTTTAGTGTACATATTATTTCACGACCTAGGTAATAAACAGTATCTAATAGGTAGTTTTTCGATACCTACCCTCCTTCCACCCTCCACCCTCAAGAAGTCCCCAGTGTCTATTGCTCCCTTCTTTGTGTCCCTGTGTACTCAGTGTTTACTCTAACTTTTAAGTGAGAACATGCAGTGTTAGTTCACTTGGGATAATGGCCTCCAGCTCCAGTCATGTTGCTGCAAAGGACATTATCTTGTTTCTTTTAATGGGTGTGTAGTATTCCATGATGTATATGAATCATATTTTCTTTATTCGGTCTACTCTTGACAGGCACTTAGGTTGATTCCATGTCTTTGCTATTGTGAATAGTGCCACAGTGAACATACACGTGCATGTGTCTTTATGGCAGAACAATTCACATTCCTTTGGGTATACAGCCAATAACGAAATTGCTAAATCAAATGATAGTTCTGATTTAAGTTCTTTGCGTAAACTGCCAAGTTGCTTCCCATGGTGGCTGGATTAATTTACATTCCTTCCAATAGTGTATAAGTATTCTCTTTTCTCTTCAGCTTCACCAGAATCTGTTACTTTTTTGGCTTTTTAATAATAGCCTTTTTCACCGTTGTGAGATGGTATCTCATTGTGGTTTTGATTTGCATTTTTCTAATGATTAGTGATGTTGAGCATGTTTCCATATGATTTTGGCCATTTATATGTCATCTTTTGAGAAGTATCTGTTCATGTCCTTTTGCTGACTTTTTAATGGACTTGTTTTTGCTTGTTAATATGTTTAAATTCTTTATAGATTCTGCATAGTGGACCTTTGTCAGATGCATAGTTTGCCAATATTTTCTCCCATTCTGTGGGGTCTGTTTACTCTGTTGATGGTTTCCTTTGTTGTGAAGAAGCTCTTTTGTTTAATTAGGTCCCATTTGTTACTTTTCGTTTTTGTTGCAATTGCTTTTGGCATCTTTGTCAAATTTTTGTCCAGGGCCTTCATGCTGCAGCACAGATGAAATGTGTGGTATTTCCTATGTTTTCTTCCAGGGTTTTTGTAGATTTGGGTTTTACATTTAAGTCTTTAATCATCTTGAGTTTACTTTTGTCCATGGTGTAAGGAATGGGAGCCAGTTTTAATCTTGTGCATATGGCTAGCCAGTTATCCCAGCACAATTTACTGAATAGGGAGTGCTTTCCCCATTGCTTGTTTTTGTTGACATTGTCAAAGATCAGATGGTTGTAGGTGTGCAGCTTTATTTCTGGGCTCTCTCTTCTGTTTCATTGGTCTATGTGTCTGTTTTTGTACCAGGTCTATGCTGTTTGGGTTACCGTAGGCTTGTTGTATAGTTTGAGTCCGGGCAATGTGATGCCTCTCACTTTTTCTTTTGTATTGCTTTGGCTATTTGGACTCTTTTTTGGTATCATATGAATTTTAAAATAGTTTTTTTAGTTAAGTGAAGAATATTATTGGTACTTTGATAGGAACAGCATTGAACCTGTAAATTGCTTTGGGCAGTATGGCCATTTTAACAATAGTGATTCTTCCTAGCCATGAGCATGGGATGTTTTTCCATTTGTTTGTGTAATCTCTGATTTCTTTAAGCAGTGTTTTGTAATTTTCAAGGTAGAGATCTTTCATTTTCCTGGTTAACTGTATTCCTAGGTATTTTATTCTTTTTTGTGGCTACTGTGAATGTGATTGCATTCTTGATTTGACACTCAGCATGGATGTTATTGGTGTACAGAAATGCTACTGATTTATGTACATTGATTTTGTATCCACTTTGCTAAAGCTGTTCATTATAGGGGTTTTGGGGCAGAGATTATTGGGTTTTCCAGGTATAAAATGATACCACCTGCAAACAGAGATACTTTGATTTCCTCACTTTCTATTTGGATGCTCTTTATTTCTTTCTCTTGCCTTATTGGTCTGGGTAAGACTTCCAGTCCTATGCTGAACAGGAATGGTGAGAGTGTGCATCCTTGTCTTTTTTTTTTTTTTTCCAGAATAGATGAATTTATTGCCATTCACATATTTTATAGAAAAAAAAAGTAGCAAACGGGTCAGGGTTGTAAAAAAAAAATCAGGTTTATACAGGTTGCTCTATTTACATCTGGGAGCAAGGCTGTCCCGGCATCAGGCACAGCAACTACACTTGTCCAACGTCCCTTTGCAGATGCAGCCCTGGGGACACTAGGCACAGCCCACAGGGCAGCAGTAGCATTAGCTCTTCTTGCAGGAGGTGCATTTGCACTCTTTGCATTTGCAGGAGCCGGCACAGCAGCAGGAGCCACCAGGCGAGCAGGAGCAGTTGGGGTCCATTTCGAGGCAAGGAGAAACAGGAGTTCCCAATTGAAAAGCAAACATGCTGCGGCACAGATGAAATGCGTGGTCACATCCTTGTCTTGTTCTAATTCTCAAGGGGAATACTTCCAGTTTTTGCCAATTCAGTATGATGTAGGCTATGGGCTTGTCATAGGTGGCTCTTATTATTTTGAGGTATATATTTCTTCAATACCTGTTAATAGTTTGTTGAAGGTTTTTAACACAAAAGGGTGCAAAATTTTATTGAAAGCATCTTCTTCATCTATTAAGGTGATAACATAGTTTTCATTTTTTGTTCTTTTTATGTGATGAATCTCATTTATTAATTTGCATATGTTGAACCAACCTTGCAACCCAGGGATAAAGCCTACTTGATTGCGGTGGATTAGCTTTTTGATGTGCTGCTGGATTCAGTTTGCTAGTATTTTATATCCATGTTCATGAAGGATATTGGCCTGAAGTTTTATGTTTTTGCTCTGTCTTTGCTAGGTTTTGGTATCAGGGTGATGCTGGCCTTATAGAATGAGCTAGAGAGGAATCCATTCACCTCAACTTTTTGGAATAGTTTCAATAGAAATAGTACCAGCTCTTCTTTGTACCTCTGGTAGAATTTGGCTGTGAATCCATTTGGATGTGGGCTTTTTCTTGTTGGTAGGCTTTTTATTGCTGATTTAATTTTGAAAGTCATTACTAGTCTGTTCAGTTTGAATTTCTTCCTGGTTCAGTCTTGGAAAGTTGTATGTATCCATTTCTTCTGGGTTTTCTAGTTTGTGTGCATAGCAGTGTTCATAATAGTCTCTGAAGGTATTTTGTATTTATTTAAAGGGAAAAATGTTAATAATGTCCCCTTTGTCATTTCTGATTGTTCTCTCTTTTATTCTTTATTAATCTAGTTAGCAGCCTTTCTTATTTATTCTTTTCAAGAATCAACTTCTGGTTATGTTTATCTTTTATATGATTTTTCCTGTCTCAATTTCCTTGAGATCAACTCCAATTTTGGTTATTTCTTGTCTTCTGCTAGCTTTGAGGTTGGTTTGCTCTTGTTTTTCTAGCTCTTCAAGTTGTGGTATTAGGCTATGAATCTGAGAACTTTCTAAATTTTTATGTGGGTGTTTAGTGCTATAAATTTTCTTCCTAACACTGCCTTAGCTGTGTCCCAGAGATTTTGGTATATTGTATCTTTGTTTTTATTAATTTCAAAGAATTTCTTGATTTTTTCCTTAGTTTCATTGATTACCCAGAAGTCATTCAAAAGCAGATTGTTTAATTTTCACATAATTGTATGGTTTTGAGCAATCTTCTTGGTATTGATTTATATTTTTATTGTGTCGTGGTCGAAGAATATGGCTGGTAGGGTTTCATTTTGTTTTGTAATTTTATGAGAATTGTTTTATGGCCAATTGCAAGGTTAATTTTAGAGTATGTGCCCTGTGCAGAGGAGAAGAATATATGTTTTTGGATGTAGAGCTCTGTAGATGTATATTGGATCCATTTGGTCAAGTATTGAGTTTAGGTCACCAACTTGCCGCTCTGTGCCTTTTAATTAGGGCATTTAACTTGTTTACATTCAAGGTAAATTTGCTATGTGCAGATTTGATCCTGTCATCATGTTGTTAGCTGGTTGTTGTGCAGACTTGATTGTGTAGTTGCTTTATAGTGTCAGTGGTCTATCTACTTAAGTGTGTTTTTGTGGTGGCCTGTAATGGTCTTTTGTTTCCATATTTAATACTTCCTTAAAGACCTCTTGTAAGGTAACAAATTCCCTCAGTTCTGGGGCGATCTCAGGTTTTATGTTCCCTCCTCAGCTTGGGGGCAGCAAGGACAGGGACCTTGGCAATAGCAAAGGCAGAGGGCCCTTCACTTGTCTCTTGGGCTCCACCCCAGAGAAACGCAGGGCTGCTGCCAATCAGAGCATTCTGCCAACGGTGGGGCAGCTGCATTTTGGGCCTAAGTTGGGGGCCCTGACTGGTGATGAGCCAAAGGGTGAGGGGAAGATAGATGAATTCCTTCTTCTTAGGGAGACTGTGGTATGCTGGAAGTGTGAATAAAGCACTCAGGGCCTTCATTCCTTCTCAGCCTGAGGGCAGCAAGGGCAGTACCACTCCAGCAGCAGTGGCAGAGGGACTTTCAGTTGCCTCTGGGAGCTCCACCCCAGAGAAATGAAGATCTGTGGCCAATGGGAATGTTCAGCCAGGGAGTGGGGCAGCTGCACTGCGGGCCTGAGCCTGGCGGCTCTGCTTGGTGAAGGGCAGGGGGTCAGATGCACACAGGGAGGAGAGACTGCACTCTTTCTTATATGGTGACTGTGGTGTGCTGGAGGCACAAGTAAAGCCCTCAGGCTCTTTGTTCCTTTCCTAAGGGCAGCAAGGGCAGAACTGCTGCACTGGCAATGGCAGGGGGCCGTTGGTTGCCTCTTGAAGCTCCACTCCAGGGAACCAGAGCCACTAGCGGTGGTAATGCTCAGTAGCTGGGCTGAGGCAACTGCTCTGCAGTTTGATGAAACATAGTGGGTGGGGGCTCACAGGGAAGAGAGACTGGGCTCCACTCTGTGTGATGGCTGCTGTGAGGCCCTTTGTCCCTTCCCTAGCCTGAGGGCAGTAAGGCTCGTACCACTGCAGCTGCAATGGGAGAGGGTCTGTTGGTTGTTTCTGGAGTTTCCTCCCCAGAGAAATGCAGAGCCAGCACCAACTGAAGTGTTTAGGCCGGGGCAGCATGGTTGTGCTGGGGGCCCAGGTCTAGAGGCCTTGCCCAGTGAGGAGTAAGGGGGCCGGGACCCATGTGGAAAACTGGCCACTTTTTCGTGAGGCAGCTGTGCTGTGCTGTGGCCCACATTAGTTAGAAAGACAGGCTTCAGTGCTCCTCTGGTCAAAGGAAGAAAAAATTTTCCGCCCATAGGGAAACTAGGAAGTATGACTGAGTGTGGATGCAGATAGTTTACATGATTGTGTGTAGAGTATGTATGGGAGATGGTGAGTAGAAAAAATTTTTAGTTGGATGTCATTGACCTTATGTTCTTTGAAGCAGAAGTTGGAGTTTTCTGCTGTGAGTGGATGAAGGTGGTGGTTTGAAGAATGTGATTATGACTCAGAGTAGTCTGTAGATTATCAGATGATATGTCTTCAAATCGTAACAAATGTAAACTGCAGGAAATTACAGAAATTAGTTTTATTCTCCATCGCTATTATGATGATAAATCCCCCATCACTATTAGAGACTATAAAGCCTCTGTGTTCGTGACTTCATCCAACAGCATGTATGCTTATGGAATAGCAGAGAGCTGGCTGATATTGAGATGTCATTTTTGAAGCAGTATTTAATGTTGTGTTAGACTGTGTGAAACCTAATATTACCTGCAGCTGGAGAAACTGGATGAAGACCTCCCCAGGCCTCAGTGAATTCTCATTAACTCCGAGAAGCCAGATGGAAGACAGGAGAGGCTGGCACTCTCTCCCTGCACCTCTGCGAGTGCCACACGTCATGCTGCTTTCTCTGTCTCCTCAGTTGTCCCAGAAGAATTGGGCAGGGTACCCATTCTACACACTTCATAGAACTTTGGGGATGACTGAACCAGAAATGAAACAATTTTGTTTTACTTTTTAATTTGGTGGCATTTTCTTTTTTGGAAAGATCCACATTGAAAAGACTCTTTTTACATGGTTTGCCTGTTCACAATTTTAGCAGTTTGTCTGCGTTTTTATTCTGATTTCAACTATTACCCTTCAGAAGCTTTTCATGTCATGTTAAAAAAAATTTATTCTCTCCACAGCCATAAAAAAAGCAGAAGTAGATATTACTATTCAGTAAGGAGTTGCTATCATTAGCTCAGCACATCAAAAATCCTCTGAGTATAAAAGGATTTCTTCTGAAATGATATAAAAATTAGAGTATTTAAGCAAAGAATACCATTGTCATAAGCATTTCATTCCAAAAGAATTCAAACCTTTCATTTCTCACTTCTTTTTCTTTTTTTTTTAAAGCATAATTTCCATTTGATTTTTTCCAGAGGATAGTTTTCTTCAGTCTTTAAGGACTGAGCTCCTTCCGTAGGCTTCAGTGGGCATTGCGGGGCAGCGGCAGCCACTCTAAATCTAGATGAGAAGGTGTTCAGGCCTGCTGGCTTCAGGAGATCCATTTCTGACTACCTTGCTGTAGCCACGCAGCAATGGAGCTTCCTGACAGTTTGGGAAGCACACGGGCAGCGAAGATCCTTGCTTTGGAAATGTCCCTGACAGTAGTGGCTTCTACTACATCTTGAATAAAGAACTTAATGACCTTGTCCTTGGGGACACATTGAACACAGTTAATACAGTGAAAAGGCTGCACGTGGCTGCAGCCCTTTTTGGCTTCAGTATTGTTCCTTCTCTTCTTTATCGCCTTGGAAGCGAGGACCTGAGAGAGCCTCACTTCTCTTCTTTCTGAAGTGCTAAACAGAGAAAGTTTAGTGTCAATACTTATGAAAGCATATTTTCCTCACTAAAGCAGCAGCATGGCCTTCTGGGTAATAAGGCAAATTAAAATTTAGGAGGACTGGGTTCTTTCAAACTCAACCTGACCTTGGCTATGCTGTTTACCCTCGCCTGAGCCTCAAGTTCCCCATCTATAAAGTTGGACTCATAATGTCATAATGATCTTGCATTTACACACTCCTTTGAGGATGATAAAGGGAAGGTACTATATAAACCACGAACGTTTTCTTCTTTATAGTTTTCAACTGAGAGTATTACTAACTGGGTTCAGAGCAGATCAATGAGGGATAGGAAGCAGGATTTTTAAAGAAAGATTAAACTAAAAGTTGTGCAGAAAGCAAATATTTTTATATTAACTTATATAATCCCATGAGCTTCCAATATATGTCTGGAAATGCTTTTATAGGAAAGACTAAATGGCTCAAACTTATACGAAGAAATTTCACTTGAGAGTCCTGTTACTCAGCTGCAGAGGGAATTTTGCATTTGTCAAAAATATAGTCAAATTATATTTAATTCCCCTACATACTCTAGTAAGACGTTAGATAGCCATGCTGGATGAACACACGTATATTTGAAACATTCATTAGACATG